CTGGAAGGAGTGGCCCCAGGAGGACTTGCTGGGAACTCCTTGTGCACAGACACAAGCAGGGAAGCTCCAGAGCCAGACTGGAGGTGGCCAGATGGCTTTAGAAAGCACCAGAAGTGCATACGGATGGACATATAGATCCAGGGAATAGAACAGAGAGTCTAGAAATAAACCCTCACATTCACAGTCAATTGCATCTCAGCAAGGATGCCAAGACAATTCAACGGGGAAAGAAGGGTCTGTTCAAAAAATGGGGCCGGGACGACTGAATATCCACATGCAAATCATGGAGGCAGACTCCTCTTTCACACCATGCACAGAAACCAACTCAAAATAGGCCACAAACCTAAATGTGAGAGTAAAAAGCACAAACACTGTTAGAAGAAAACATAGGAATAAATCACCTTGGGTCAGGCAAAAGCTCCTTCAATAGAAGATCAAATGCACAGGCAATGAAAGAAAAGAATGCATACGCTGGACTTCATCAAAATGAAACCCTTTTCCCTTAAAGAACACCGTCAAGAAAGTGAAATGATAACTCGAGATGGGGTAAAACATATGCAAATTATATATCTGACGAGGCCCTTATATCTGGAATAAAAACTCTTACGACTTAATGATAAAAAGACAAATAACTGAACTGAAAATGAGCAAAGGCTCTGAAGATCTTTCTCCAAAGCAGATATCCAAATGGCCAGTAAACACATGAAAAGATGCTCGGCATCATTAGCCATCAGGGAAACGCAAATCAAAATACTACTTTACAAGAAAATTAAAAATAGACGTTGACACTAAAACTTGAACATGAAGGCTCATTGTACAATTGCTCACAATAGCCCCAGAGTGGAAACAGCCTGAGTGCCCATTGGTTGGTGAGTGGATAAATTAAAGGTCGTCTGTCACACGTAGAATATTATTCGGCCATGGGAAGGAATGAAGCCTGATACACGCTCCAGTATGGATAAACCTTGGGGACATTGCACTAAATGCAGGAAGTCACGAAAGGGCACGTATTGTATAATCCAAATTGTATAATTGACGTGAAATGTCCAGGCAAATCCATAGAGGCAGAAAGTAGGTTAGTGTTTGCCTAAGACTGGGGGAGGGGGTCTGGGCTGCGGGGCGATGGCTGATGGGCACAGGGTTTCTTTTGGGGTAATGAAAATGGTCTAAAAGCGGCTGCACAATGCTGTGAATATGTGAATATGCTAAAAGTCACTGAATCGTGCACTCTAAGTGATTGCATAATATCTCAAAAGAACCAAAAAAACAAACCAAGGGGGAAAAAGCACCAGTTGTGCTTTTCCCCTGGCCCCAGGTTTGAAAAGCATATGGGGTGGCTTGGTGCCTTTGCAGCCTCAGGTTCCAAAATTCTACCTTCATCTGCCAACCTCACTTGGACGCCTGCAGAAGAGAGACAGGGATCTCGAGATGGGACATGTATCAATGCTGATTGATACTGTGGCTTCTGGTGGGGCAGAGTGGTGAAGTGTGTAGAAGGCATCGCCCCTGCTCTGCCGCTGGCTGGCCGGGCGGCCTAGGCAAGTGGTAGAACCTCTGGGTTTCTTCATCTGTCAGAGGGGAAATATTAGTACCCACCTAATAGAGCTGCCGCAATGGTTCATTAAGTTAACTTATGAGGAGCTTAGCACAGTGCCTGGCATATTAGTAAATGCTCAGTGAAGGGTGACCCCTGTGGCTGGGAGCAGAGCGCGTCCCATTCAGAGTCAGACGGCGAATCCTGCTCGGCTACCTCCTAGCCCAGTTACTGTTGTTAGTTGAATTGTTTCCCCCCAAAAAGATATGTTGAAATCCTGGCCCCTAGTGCCTGTCAATGTGACCTGGCTTGGAAATAGGGTCTTGGCAGATGTAACCAAGCTAAGAGGGGCCTATTCTAATACACGTTAACGGAAAAGACATTCTGATATCGTCTTTACCGGAAAGGAAGCTCAGTACCAGACTGTCCATGTCACAAGCAGAAATTTGGACTCAGGTCTGCTGCACTCCAAGTCCAGTGCTCTTTCCAGAGGGTTTGAGTAGTGAGGAGCCCTGGGTAGCAGAGGATGGGAGAGGCACCCATGGGAGCTGGGGCACAGAAATGGAGAGATGCTTATTGCCCTCCCAGATGCCTACAGGCCCCCAGAGGAAAAAAGACCCCCACCCGACTGTCTGAGTTTCAGAGAGCCAACTTCTCCGAGTGAGGCCCCAGTCTTACCGAGGGAGGTGAGCACCCCTCTCTCCCACTCTGCACTGCCCCACCCCCATTGCTTCCTGACATCTGAGTTACTAACAGTCTTTGTGTCAAAAGTAGGGACGTTTCCCTTGGAGTTCAGAGTTGCTGTTTGGAGCACCAGCTCTGACCTTGGGCAGACCTGGTGGGACCCTCAGCTTTGCCACTCACGTGGGTGAGCCCCTTAAACTCTCAGGGGCCCTGTTCCCTCATCTGTAAAATGGGGATGACATGCCTGCCTCGGAGGGCTTTCGTGAAGGCCACGTGATTAACTGTGGGTTGACATTCAGCAGCCAGTGCTGGGCACACAGACCATGGTTGACAGAATGGGGCCTCGATTCTCAGCTGTGGATTGGAAGAGCCCTCAGTGGTGGCAGCTCTGTATGGCGAGGGTGGCAGAGGAACTCCGTGCTTCTGTCTTCTGGTGGCACCGGAAGAGCAGCGTCTTGGCTCGGACAGGGTGGGGGGTCTGGGCCTCACCGCATTTAATTGATTGTAACATCGCACCCTTAGCGTGCTCTCCCGCATTCCCTGCACCCCCAAGAAGAGCCTTGGCAATGCTTCTGAGACTGTGTGTAATGCATTCCCGGGGCCCAGCATGCAACTTTGAAATTGGCTTACAATTTATCTGCAGCTCGGATAAAAACATTTTAATGACTGCGTGCGGCACGAACCCTTGGTGTCACCCACGGGGCTCCCAAATGTCTTTTCCCACCACATAGCGGGGATGTTATAGGCGTGAAATTACAGCCACTCTCGCATTTTGATCTCTACCCAGAGGCCTCTGGAAGCAGCGCATTAGAATGCGCTGGATGCAAACTTGGCAATGGCGGACCGGCACGCCCCGCTCCCCAGCGGAGCTGCTCTGTGCTTTTGACGCACGTGGGGCCCTGGGCTGTGCCGGCTCCCCGCTCCCCTCTCCCCACTGTCCTGGGGGGCTTCCCTTTGACCTCCAAATTGGACAGGGGCTATATTACACTGCTGTTGGTTGCCGTGGTCCTTAGGATCCCATGTGGCACACAGGACACCCCAGCTTTGGATGACCTCCACTCACTAGGAGGAAGGGTCTTTGTGTGCATGTGAGACAAGAGAGAGGGTCTATGCAGAGTCACAGACAGGCCAAAACAATGAATAGATTATAATTTTTGAAACTGGCCTTGACATATATTTAAAGGAGAGAGTCATGGAGGTGGGGGGCAGGGGGGCACAATTTTTAACCTTTCTAATTGTGCCTGATTTTTAGCTGACATGATTATTATTTGCTGGTACTATAAGAGATACTGTTTATTGAGCCTTGGGAATGGGCCTGAGCTCAGAGCACTCTGCTCTGTGGATTATCTCCTTTAACCCTCTCAGCCTTGGCCAAGTCGCTTCGTTCTCTGAGCCCAGGTCTGCGCAATGGGCACAGTACCATTCCTGCCTCACAGCTGACGTGGCCACTGGGTGACAAGAGATCCTATGCGGAAACCTCTTCACACTGCACCCCACTGTCCCTCCCAGCCCCCCCTCCCCATTCCAGACCTTGCCATGAAGCCATGCCACCTCCCGCCCGGCCCGGCCCCCAGGAGGCCAGAGCGCGCCGCATGCTGCCGCTGTGGGAATCAACATCCTCCTGGAGGTCTGGCCTTTGGAGGATTTCAATTTCCCCAGAAGCAGCGGCTTTCATCGGGGCCTTTATGCTTTCATTGATTGCCCGAGTACTGCGAGCTTTGTTTCCCTGATAAATATCATTTGATAAGAAAATCGGAGAACACTGGAGCCCCGAGTTGAGACCAAGTCCCTAGAGTTCTGGAGGCAGAATCTGAGCGTGTTCCTGGCAAGAACATCAGTGCCCCTGTTTTTACAAATGGGGAAACCGAGGGTGGGGTGCGGGACACAGGCAGCCAGAGACAAGCCTGAGCATTAGCATCCCCACTTTGCATATGTAGAAATGGAGGCACAGAGCCAGTGCCTGAACCCAGGAGCCCCGACATCCAGCCCAGTGTGCTTTCTACCTCATCACTTAATGCCCACCATCTCAGCCAAGGCCTTGGAGGGTTTCGGGAGGAGACATGTGGCCAGGCCAGAATCCTTCTTTCTGCAGCAGGTGTGTGTCCCCACTGAGACGATGTCTCAGACCCCCCAGGGAGGCTCCTGGGTTGTCCTCCCCCCACAGAGCACCCATCCCACTGCACTTTCCCCATAGGTATTCCCATGGACGTGGCTCCTGGCTTCAGCTTGGGGAAGGTGCCCTCATAGCTGCTCCCACAGTGCCCTGGGCCTCCCTCCCTGTGCCCTCACTGGGTCACAGAGCCTGGGGCTGCATGGTCCATGAATGATCCATTAGGCCTGCATCCTACCCCCATCTCACAGACGGGAAAACTGAGGCCCAGAGACAGCGTCAGCCTGCTGCCCGTGGGCAGCTCTGATCACTCCTCCCATTCCTCATTTGTTCCTTCAACCTGTCAGAGCCCCTCCAAAGCGCCTGGTCCCTGAGGACCCAGGGGTGAGGTTCAGCTCTGTCTTCACAGGTGGGACTCAGTGCTGGTAGAAGAATGGGGTCCTGAGAGGAAATCCTTGGTGGTGAGGACACATTGGTCACACCTCAAGGGCAAGGGAGGGAAAGGAGAGGGTCCGCTGCCAGCACAACAGGCGTTTTGGCAGGTGGTGCCCGGGACAGCGCCTCTGTGCACGTGTGCGCGTGCACACATGCACCTACACACATGCACCCACACACATGCACACACACACACAGCTCCTCACCGTGATGCTGGGGCCGGGGCCCTGCACTCACCCATAACGTTGAGGAAGATGTTGCCCGATGCCAGGACCACCTTCTCTCTCGTGGCTCGGTCGTAGATGCCCACGTGGCACTCGTAGGGACCATTGTCCGAGACGCGGACCTCGGGCAGCCTGGGGGAGGCAGAGGAGCAGAATGAGGGCTCCTGAGTCAACCACATGCACGTGCCGTGCTGAGAAGCAACACTTATGGACACCAACTACGCTGGGCCCTGTGCTCAGTGTTTCCGAGGGCGAAGGTGTGGGCTGTGTGTCCAGCAGAAGTTAAATCTAGGCTCCTTTCAGCTTCGTGAACTGGGATGGCGATGGTGCCCACCCCCAAGGGGCCCTGGGGATGGCATGGGCCCAGAGGCACCTGGCGTGTGGCACAGGCTCAGAACTGTCACCCGGAGCATCCCCTCCGCGGCAGCCCTCCATGTATGGATCGTCATTACCAAATGAGGAGGCTCCAAAGGGGACAAAGTCGCCCTCCCCTCATATGGCCACTAAGAGCCAGATGGCAACGGGAATGCTGCCTTACTGTCACTTTATGCCCAGCCCCCTTTGCTCACTCCTGCAGGGAAGAGCCCTGACGTGGTGTCAGGGAGCCAAGTTCAAGTTCTGTCCCTGCTGTTGGTACACCCTATGAGTAACACCGTCTCTCTCGCTGAGCCTCTGTTTTCTTAACTAAAATATGGGGCTAATGCTTCCCAGACACTGCCGCTGCCAGGCCTCTGTAGGCATGAAAGTGGCATTAAATAGATGAGGCACTGTCACCTGTTGTCCCTTCCTCCTGTGATGTCCCGAGAGCCTAACCTGGAGTTAGAGGCCACGTGGCCGCTGCCTCAGGACATCTGTGTGGTTTCCAGCACATTCCAACCTTATCGGGCTCTAATCACGCAGCCAAAGGGGGGCCTATTCTGGCCACACTTAGAAACGGGGTCACTGTGTTTGGTCTTAGAGGCTCTCACGCTGCAGCAGGGAACTGGGGAGATGCTCAAGTGCTCTACCCACCACACTGGCCCCCAGTCCTATCGGAGAGACCCCCTGGGGAAGGAGGGGGCGGTGGGTAAGAGCGCAGGCTCTGGGTGCGTGTCCCGGGCCTGCCCTCCCGAGAAGGGAGGCTCCTCGGCCCGTTCTTCCTTCCCAGCCCTCGTGGGCACGTCTTCCACGGTCCCCGGCTGCGCCTCTCCCTCCCATCTGTTTCTGCTGAGCAATCTAACCTCAGATTTACGCCTTCCTTCTCTTGTTTCAGCTGTGCCCGCGTTTTTGTCTTCCAGCTCCATTTCCTATGATTCACTATC